TTGAAAGGATGTTTAATCATGCCTTTTTGCTTTTATCATGACGCTCATGAATATTATGAAAAATCTGTGCATCTGTTGAGATGATCTAATGATTTCACTCCTATAATGAGTTAACGTAGTGAATTACATTCATAGATTTCCTAATGTGTAACTACTATTTAATTTCTGGGATAAAGTCAACCTGCCCATGAAGCAGCATCCTTTTTACACCTTGTTAGAATTGGCTGAAAATACTTTGCTTAAATTTTTGCATCTGTGGGCATAAATGAAACTGGCTTATAATGTTTTCTTCTCATGCTGTCTTAGGTTTTAGAATCAAGGTTATCCTGGCCTTAAAAAAGAGACTGAAGAGTTATCTCCCTTTTGCCATAGTCAAAACAGGAATTTTTTGGAAATTGAAGTGGAACCATTTGATTCTGGAATGTGTGGGAGAACTGGCCTGTCTTACACAGTAAATATTGGTTAAATTTAATTAACATATTTACCATTTATTTTGCTCTTCCTTCCTTCTTGCATTTCAGACATTCCATCTTAGATCTGAGAAAACTTTCTCTCTGAATTACTTTCTTAAAGTACTTCCTTAAGAATTTCTTTCTCCTGTTGGTAGGGTAGTCAGGGTTCAACCAGAGAAGCAGAACCAGTAAAAGATTTAAGAGACAGATAGACAGATACATATACACGTATGAGAGTTATTATAAGAAACTGGTTTACAGGATTATGAGGGCTGGCTAAGCAGGTAGGAAATTCATAGGATAGGCAGTCAGGAAGGACAGACCATGGGCAGGTGGGACCACAGTCAGGGGCCGATGCTGCCACCCACAGGTGTACCTTCTCTCTTTCAGGAAAATCTCAGTCCTGTTTTACAAGCCTTCCAACTGCTTCCGACAGGCCCACCCAGCTCATGTAGGATTATCTTCCTTATTTAAAGCCAAATGATTAGGGGTTTAAATTACACATGTAAAAATACCTTCACAGCAATACTCAGATTAGCATTTGATTAAATAACTGGGGGCCGCAGCCTCACCAAGTGGACACATCATTAAAGCCAACACAGAGGGCAAACTCAGCTTTAGCAGGGAAATGTCTGCATGGCACTCTTGCAATTAAAACGTATTTTAGTTGGTGTAGGATTCTAGGCATTTTTTTCTCAACACACTAAAGATGTGGCAGTGTCTTCTGGATTCCACTGCTGCTGGTGTGAAGTCATCTGTCAGTATTTGCTCTCTGAAAGTAATCTGTTTTTTCTCTTTTAAAAAAATTTCCTCTTTATTGAATGTTTTAGAGCTGAATCTGCTGTGTGGGTGTAGATTTCTTCTTATTTCCTCAGTTTGGAGATGTGGGACTTCCTGAATTTATAAAGTGTGCATGTAACTGGCTCTGGCCCTGTCCTTCCAACCAGCATCTCTCCTGCACTTCATGTCTGCTCCTTTCAGGACTGACTGTATGGATTTCAGACATTTCCACTCCACCCTTTATGTTTATTAATCTCTTACATGTTCTACTTCTTCGTGGCTCTGTACTATGTTCTGGATAATTTCTTTTTCACATCTTCCAGTTCAGCAAATCTCTCTTTAGTTAGATCTGACTGGCTATTAATTAATACATCAATTTCCTTTCATTTAAATTACATGCTTCCTTACCAGAAGTTTATTTGCTACATTCTTAAAATTGTCTTTACATTCTTCAAAGTTTTTACGCCTTGAACATTTTTAAAGCTCGTCTTTTATTTCTCTGAACATCTTAAGCACAGCTACTTTATATTCTACTTCTGTTACATCCAGTATTTGAAGTCTCTGCAGGTCAGTTTCTGTCTGCTGTTTCTGGTTTACGATTTGTTTCCCCGTATGTCTAATGACTTTTAAGAGTGAAATTTCTCTTTGGGATCTTAGCTGGGAGAATTCCTTGATGCCTGGATGAAGGGGGATTCCTCAAGGAGGATGCATATTTGCTTCTGCCTGAGGGCACTAACAGTCAGGATAACTTTACACTTGACTTGAGTTTGGTCAGACCAAATCAGAAATTATTAATTCAGGCTTCAGAGTCCTGTGCATGCTGGTGAGTGGCAACTTCTCAGCAGCGCTCTTTCCTCCCCTCCACTCATGCCAGAGCTTCAGATGTACAATCCCCAGGAAGGGGCTGAAGGGAAGGAGCACCTTTATTTCTTGTTTACCTTTACAGTAAGGCTTCCCAGATTGATGTGAGTTGAATCTCCTATCACACTTCTCATCTTGGAGAGTAAGCACTGGGCTTTGTCTCCTGTGACCCTCACCACATGATGTTTTTTCAAATTCTGCATTTTAAATTGTTTCAGTACATAAGTGAGCTCCGAATCCTTCCCTGCCGTATTATCAGAAATTACACTTCACTTTAATGCCTACCTTAAAATTATATGCTTCTCTCCTGGGTTCATGTTCTTTCAATTTTGATGCATAAGAATTGTTGAATAAAGAGAGGACCTGGGTAGTTCTTGACCCATAATGGATCACAAACTCATGGTCAGGAATATTAATCATTTGTACCTAATAAATATTTTTATATTCTTTCAGAAAGATCAGTAGTGTCTTTGAGAATTCATCTATGCTAATAATTTTTATCAATCGATTCCTATTTTTTTTCCCTTTTCCCCCCAAGCTTTAGTGAAGCGTAACTGGTATACAAAAAACTGCACATAATTAATGCAGACAATTTGCTGAGTTTGGGCAGATGTATGTACTCCTGTTACCATCATCACAATCCAGGTAATAAACATGTCCATCACCTCCAAAAGTTTCCTTGTGTCCATTTATGTTCCTGTTTGTTTGTGTGTGATAAGAACATGAGCAGGAGATCCACACTCCTAACACATTCCAAAGCACACAACACTGTACTGTCGGCACCTCGGATGCTGGACCTGACTCACCTTTACAACTTTGTGACGCTGTCAACAGAATCTCAAGTCCTTTCAGGGATACCTTCAACTATCTCTTTCTTAAGGTTCATAAAATAGTATCAAGTTCAAGAACACGGTCAATTGGTGTATGTAAAACTATCCAAGTTGTCCTATAATCGGTTCTACTTTGACCATTCTCATATGTTACATTTAGCCTTTTTGACCAAGTTATACTTTTAAAACGTCCTGCATAGATATGTATTTTGTTAATGTAACTGCTCTAAGGATGAGGCAGACCCTAAAATTTATGAGCTTCCACAAAGTTTCATGCACTGTCGAGCTGAGAGTGCACAGGTGTTAATTCACATAAACTGTATCACAACCTGTGGGGCAGGGTACGATACTTGTTATTTTATAGAAAAAGAAACAGATACTTATGAACAAAAAGCTACTGAGTGACAAAGCCAAGGTTTAACCCAACTCTACCTGACTCCTAAAATACATATGCTTTTTGTAGTTATGTAAAAAAAAAACCAACAGACCACGTATGAACTTTATCAAACGATAAGACTCCAGTTACAGAATCTCAAAAAGGGAAGTAATACGTCATTCTACCCAACCATTCAGTCCTTGACCTCCATATAATTTGAGCTTCATAACTCAGTTTTGACAATGGGAGGTACAACTATCTCCTCCTGACAGACAAAAACACAGCAAGGGCACTGATATTTAACTCAACAAGCACGTACTGGACAACTAGCCTGGGCCTGCACTGTGCCACACACTTCAGCATTTACAGACCATCACTCGATCCTGTTCCAATCCTGGGAAGTAATTCAGTCTATACCGGAGCCCTCTAGGGACAGAGAGCTCCAAAGGGAGCCCGCTCCATCCTGGGAAAGTCACAAGACATCTTTAATCTGGAAACCCACCAAACCTGGTTCTTTCTGTTCCAGAAAGGTGTGTACTGGACAAATCTAATCCTTTCTTTAAGGTAACCTTTCACATATTGGAAGACAGGTATATCCCCACAGAGCATTCTTCTAACTCAGATCATTATTTAGAACTTCCTCAGAATACAGAAAAATGGTATTGGATTTTTTAACCATGCTGGTTTCTTTACTTATCTAATTTGAAGCTTATTTTGAGTTACTTGGTCTCTTTCCTCTTAACAGACAAAGGAATTTCTATTAACTTGTCTGCTTCTCAAGGGCATCACTGAGTTTTTTTGTTTGTTTGTTTTTTGTTTTTTTGCCGTACGCGGGCCGCTCACTGTTGTGGCCTCTCCCGTTGCGGAGCACAGGCTCTGGACATGCAGGCTCAGCGGCCATGGCTCACGGGCCCAGCCGCTCCACGGCATGTGGGATCTTCCTGGACTGGGGCACGAACCCGTGTCCCCTGCATCGGCAGGTGGACTCTCAACCCCTGCGCCACCAGGGAAGCCCCATCACTGAGTTTTTATTCATGTCTGCACCCTGGCCCCAAGCACAGTTTATGACACACTGTAGGTCTTCATTAAATGTTGAATTCACATGGCTAACTTTACACTTAAAATTGTCATGTGGAATAAGAAAAGTAAGTGTTAAGAACTTAATTTAAATTACATAAACAGAAATACGGCAAGCCTAAATTAAGAAACTTGCCATGATCACACAGTGGGATGAAAGAGACACTGCATCTAAACTTTCTGGAATCTGATGTCAAGCTGCTGCTTTTTGAAATGACAGTTTTATTTTCTGAGCCAGAAATCAAGACACACAGAAGGACTATAAATTTTTTCTGAAATTTTAATTTGTGATTATGTAAAGTTTTACAAAGCTTGAAAAGTTACGTATTTATAAATCGTTTTTGTAAACTGGATTGGTCCTATTAAAAAACTCAGTTTGTTTACCATACCCATCTAGCACACTACGATAAGCCCTTCTAAGATGCCTTACATAACCAGTCTTACTGCTTCTTCTGCTGCGCATGGATACTCTCCTCTGTGAGACCATCAGCTGAGCAACTTTCAGTGAGGAAGTTTTTAATAGCAAAGTTCAGATATAATTTTACAGTGACAAAAAAGTGTTATAAATTTCTGTTACATTTCTGTAAACTTGTTACAGAACAAAACGTGGAGGTCCACTCTTACCTGCTTAAAAAGCTGGAGGTTAACTGCGGTTTCTAAAAAATGTTTCATCAGACTTGAGCGGTGCTTGACGAAACTCTCCTCACAGAACGTGATGGGCTCACCCTGGATAGAAACAAAGAATTTCGGGGACATCAACAGAAAGTCAGCACAAACCAGTCTATCTGAAGAGGCACCTGGGGGGGTCACACAGGAGTGTAAGACAGAACTTCAAGGTACTCAGGGTGTAGAGGGAGTGAGACCCTTACACATCATGGCTGGAGGTCAGGCTGGTAGAAATATTCCTCGAGCCGATAAGCTTCTGCTATAGCTTCCTAATCAAGGATCCCTTGGGCTCTAAAAAATGGTCACTTTCACTCCCTCACAGTAAGACTAAATCCCCTAAAAACAAAGATTTAATATCATTAGATTGATTATGAGTATTAAAAATTGCACACAGGGCTTCCCTGGTGACACAGTGGTTGAGAGTCCGACTGTCGATGCAGGGGACACGGGTTCGTGCCCCGGTCCGGGAAGATCCCACATGCCGTGGAGCGGTTGGGCCCGTGAGCCATGGCCACTGAGCCTGCGCGTCCGGAGCCTGTGCTCCGCAGCGGGAGAGGCCACCACAGTGAGAGGCCCGCGTACCGCAAAAAAAAAAAAAAAAAAAAAAAAAAATTGCACACAATCTGAACAAGTCCAACAATTATATTTCATTCCGATTAGAAAACATTCTTACATAAAAATTGCTGCATGCTTTTTGCCATTTACAGTATGATCATTAATTTCTTTTTGAATTAATTAAAAGGTCTTTCAATCACATTCTATTCATAATTGCAAATACAATTCTGACTGGATACTTTCTAGGATAAGCCTCACATGGCATGTGCCTGAACTTATCCTATTTGCTAAGTAATCACAACTCGGCAAGTGTCTTCTGGAAGCTTTGGGCTGTTAGCCACTCTTCCTCCATCGCGAGGACTTTAATTCCAAACACAGCTTCCACAGACTCCCACACGTGACCTCAGGAATCATCTCTCACTGGCAGACCCCCGTCACCTGCTGCTTCCCTCCACAGCCTGAATGGTCCTCTTGCCCATTCAACACAGATGAGGATAAGTGACTTAACGATCAAAATGAAAACAGAGATTAGCGACAACGATTCAGTCCTTATAGTAAACCTTGTAGCAATCTTTACACTGCGGAAAAAAGGAAAAAACTGAGCTTGTCCACCTTCTAACAGAACTTTGAAAAAATATTAATTATAATTTAATTTTAAGAAAGAATTATGTCTTGATTACAGGTATCTGTAAGTAAAACTCTGGAAACTGGTTCTTGAATGAATAAAATAATGGGACTAACAATCTGTACAACTCAGCTGTTACACTGCCTGCCGGAAGTTAATGCACTGCTCCACAGAGCAGCCATTATGCACAGTTAATGCTATTTAAATTTACTAAAATTAAAACTAACAATTTAGTTCCTCAGTCGCCCCAGCCACATTTGAAAGGCTCAGCAGCCACAAGTGGCTACTGTATCAGACAGCACAGATACAGAACACTTCCTTTATCACAGAAAGTTTTCTTTGACAGCACTGCTACAAAGGGAAGAAAATAAAATTCAAACTAAAAGTTAGAGAAGACAATTCGATAATCTATTAATTGATGCCACCTAGACCAGCCATCAGCTGATGATCTATAATAAAACTAACATTATACATTTTCATATAGATTGTTGCCATTCTTAAGCGCTAGAGAATGATTTTTAAATACATATTTTAAGAATAGAATTTACATAAATATATTTTAGATAATCAAAAATACACCACAGGGCTTCCCTGGTGGCGCAGTGGTTGAGAGTCCACCTGCCGATGCAGGAGATGCAGGTTCCTGCCCCGGTCCGGGAGGATCCCGCATGCCGCGGAGCGGCTGGGCCCGTGAGCCATGGCCGCTGAGCCTGCGCGTCCGGAGCCTGTGCTCCGCAGCGGGAGAGGCCACAACAGTGAGAGGCCCGCGTACCGCAAAAAAAAAAAATACACCATATTTGCCACTATCATAGAACTTACAATCTAATGGGGGAAAAACAACAAACAAGCAATCCTGTTAAAGACCTGTTGTCTTTGAATCCCTAATATCAGCAATATATCTAGTTACACCGGGAGCCCAATAAATGTTTTATAAGTGAATAAATGAAATAGCAAGTAAGCTAAAGCCTTGCTCCATATGACATATTGTCTTTTCCAAAACAAATATAAATTTTAAAAATAAACAAAATCATTGCCTCTAACGGCAAGTTCCAACTATATCACTGCTATAACAAAGAAATCAGGACTATTGATAATTTAATTTTTATTTGATGGACTTTTCATCCCCAAACATGTGAGAGAGATTTTATTACAGTCTGTAATATGTCTAAAAGTTGTCATTAACATTGCAGAATAGTCTTCAACTCAAATATAGAGTTCTAGCTCCAGTTGAAAAGCTTAGACTTCTGATGTTACAAGCAAGCGTTTCTTCTGATTGGAGGGTGCAGAGAGCGGGGGTGAAAGTCTCCAGGGAGAAGGGGTGGGAGCAAAGTCTACCGACTCTTCCTCAAGAGTTGGGCGTAACTAGTCATCAGCCAATGTGAACTGCCTGGAAGAACTCTGTCCTCACTAATCTTGTAGCAATTGCCTGCAATCTGTCAGGAGAAGGGGCAGAGAAAGCTCAGACGTGCTGCCTGCCCCCCTCCTTGATAACAACCATTACGGTAAAAGCTTCCAACTGAACCTTTAATTGATCAACAGTTTGTTCACTAAGAATCTCAATGATTACGAAGAAGACAAAGCCCTGACACATCTTAGAATTTTCTCACAGGGGAAAGAAAAATAAGGTTTGTTTAACAATGCTGTAAAGTTTTATGTATTAATACACAAGAGTCTCAACTGCTGTCATCCTTGGGGTGTATCCTGTGGAACAGCTTCTTTTCAATCCAAGTCAAATTGGATGGCGTGGTAAGAAGGAACTCTGCTTAGGATCTTCTGGTTTATTTATGACCTGATGAAAAATCAGGATTAGGACTGAGTAGTTTCTCAAAAACTGTCTTGTTCCAAGTAAGGTGACTACATACCCAGTGTTGCGTGCTGAATTCCCAGTTTAGGCCTGCAGTATGGAAGGTTTAATCTGGGGGCATCTGTGGCTTCACAGAGGAAATTTGAGCTGGTTTTGAAAACGAATGGAAGCTTTATGAAACACAGACAGAAAAGACAGTCTTGAGAGAGGACAGACGTGGACAAAACGTGGGTAGTGTGTTTGGGGTGGGTGTGAATTAGAGAAAGCACCAAAGTGGGATAATGAGAGGTTGGCTGAGGCCTAGTGGCTACTGGACATGGGTTACAGAGAGTAGGTTGAGCCATCCTGGAAAAGGCCTGAGCCACATTCTAAGACATTGGCTATCTCCTTGAAGGCCTCAAGCAGCTCAAAGAAGCGTGTGTACGTGTTTTGGAATGGAGAGCGCATAGGCAAGAGGAAATAATGGTACACAATAAATCAGGCAAGAAAAGACAAACTAGGCAGCAGACAGGAAGAAACAGCACTGACTCTTATTACCTAACATTTATGGGGCACCGATGACTACACTAACAGTAATAACAGCAGCTAATGACTGCATAATACTTATTATGTGCCAGGCACTGTGGTAGGGCACTTTACACATATTAACTCACATGAACCTCAAGCCTATTATCATCATATTCTACACATGATTAAACTGAAACAAAGTTTAAGTCACTTGCTCAAGACTGCACAGCACTGTAATTGTTAGAGGCAGGATTCACTCTATGCTCTCAACCTCCAAATGATCCCATTTTCTGGGTATCCAAGACTATATGAAATGTTTTATTTATTCCACATCATGTAATCTGTGAAAGTACAATAAGCTGTGGTAATTATTACATTTTACAGATGAGGAAGCTGAGGCTTAGAAAGTTTAAGTAGATTAACCCAGGTTGTGAGAGTTTGAAGTTGATGTGGTTAATTACGCTACTAAACATTTCATGGCAAAATCAACAGGACTTGTTTATCAACTGATATACAGCAGTGGTTCTCAAAGAGTGGTCCAGGGACTCTGACCTTTTCATAGGGTCTGCAACACTAAAACTATTTTCATAATAGTGCTAAGATGTTATTTGCCCTTTCACTTTCATTTTCTCAAGAGATCCGACTGAGTTTTCCAGAGGCTTCATAATTTGCAATACTGCAACAGAATGAAAGCAGAATCAAACGTGAGAATCCAGCCAGCTTCTTTTAAGCTGGGTAGTAAAGAGATTTGGAAAAATGTAAAACAGTGCCATTCTTCTGACCAAATTTTTTGTTTAGAAATAGACTTATTTTTCATGAAAACATGTTTTACGTTAAGCTTAGTAGGTTTGTGTTTTTACCTTTCCATTTCTAAAAATTATTTTTTCTCCTTCCTTTTTTATTGGTTTGTATTGTTTTGAAATAAATTATCAATAATAACTATTTAAAATATATTCAGTTTTCATTTCTAATATGGTAAATAGTGATAGATAGACCCGACATAAACAAAAGTTCTTTGATGTCCTTGATAATTTTTAAGAGTATAAAGACATCCGGAGAGCTTCCCTGGTGGCGCAGTGGTTCGGAGTCCACCTGCCGATGCAGGGGACGCGGGTTCGTGCCCTGGTCCGGGAGGATCCCACATGCCGCGGAGCGGCTGGGCCCGTGAGCCATGGCCGCTGAGCCTGCGTGTCCAGAGCCTGTGCTCCGCAACGGGAGAGGCCACAACAGTGAGAGGCCCGTGTACCGCAAAAACAAAAAAACAAAAAAAAATAAAAAAGACTAGGAATACAGAACAAAAACCAGGTTTAATAAGAATCTGGTAAAATCAATTGTGGCTTGTGTCTCGGCTTGGGCTCTAAGCCAACCAAGCCTGAGACAGGGATTGTTGTTCAAGCGATTTGCTGGCGGAGAATTCTCAGGAAATAGGTACTAAGGGGACCAGGATACGGCAGGGAAAAAGGACAGGCAAGAATTTGGTTTCATCTGGAGATCAGCTTCAGACTGAACCCACGGAAAAGTACTAATCGTGTGGCAGAGTCCATCCAGTCTTGAGGCAAGGCCAGTTTC